GTACAGGATGATTCAGTGACTCGGGTTGGCCACCCTACAACGGATTTAAAATGAAAGCATTTTAAATTAGTGCATAAGGTTTTAAAATTTGCATTTTTATACCTGCGCACCACTCAATGTGTCGCGACAAAAAGTTCGTCCTTTTTCAAAACGACATTACTTTTTTGTTTCTTGAACGATTTTATTTTGGTCTGTGATGTCTGCTAACCCCATCCTCTGGCAATTCATGCTATAGATATTAAACATACAGTTCTTCAAGTAAATTTCCTACAGGGTGATATGTAAAACGGTGAAAAATTTCAATAACTTCATCCAAGCCCCGTTTGTAAAACAATAATTTTTTTTTCGTTTTTACTTTGAAATAATGAAGTATTATGTGTTACCTTGAAACGTTATTCAAAATTTTTCGAATTGGAATCTTAGCAACGAAAATATGATTTAATTAAAAATTAAAAATTTAAGGCTTTTTTGTAGGCAATATATTCAGTCTTTTTAAGAACAAGAAAATAAGATGGTAAAAGATTGTTCCTTGAATAATTCTGAACAAGCGACAAGCAACAAACTTCCATTATTTTCAGAGGGGCCTAAGCAAACACCACTTTTTCAAAATGACATTTTGGTGAAAATTTGCGAAAACTAAACCTGAACCGATATTTACGTTCGTGACATGTTTTCTTTATAATTTTGACCTCCTGATTGTGATTCAGTTGTCAAATTTAAGTTTTAGATAAAACCAAAATCATCAAGAATCACATATTTATGATGAAAATGCTATTTGGGGATTCATTTTTTGGGCGAAATTACTGTAATTTGTTTGAGTGGTTAGGATAATGTTACATAACTTACATTTACATTGAGCAGTGGTGATAACATCATTGATAAGTACCTACCTAATTTAATAAAAATATTTTTGTTCATTTTTGAAAATTGTATGCGTAGATATAATCATAATCAAAACTTCAACAAAAAAATGTAACAAACAATAACAATAATACCTTTCAATATTTCGTTGGCCCTCCCCTAAGCCGTAATAATTCATTTCTGGGATACCCCATTCTTCCTGAATAGCATTTACCAATTCATCCAAATTTTCCATGCCTCCTTCCCTCTCTTTCATCTTCAATTTTATCCTGCTCCACACATGCTCAATAGGATTTATATCCGGAGACAAAGGTGGCCAATTCATTTTCTCAATATGGTGGTCCCTTAAATACTCATTTACGATATGTAAAAAAAAATTGTCACCGATTTTGTTTAAACTTTACTTATTTGTTGTGCTTGTAACGAAGAATCATAGCATACAATTTTTTTGCTCTAGAATTGTTCATTCAAGAGTTATGGATTATTGAAATTTATCGATTTTTTACTTTTTGGGTCTACATAGATTTCGCAAGGAGGATCGATGATATTAAATAAAAAATTTATTGTTATAACCGTAACGGCTTGCCTATAAGCTGAATAGCCGCCATTATTATGAAATAGCACAAATTTCGAAGTTTTGTTCTTCACAAAAAATACTCAAATCAATTGAACTAACATAAAGAGATTATTTAACCCAAATACCGACTCCCCCACATTTTTATTAATTAACTAACACTATCGCTTGGTAATTAGTTTGGTATTACCTACCCAATTTACCAATCACGTGTTTTCAACGTGTCTTGCAAAAAATGACAGCTCAATTAGTGGTGTGGAAATTTAATAAATGGTATCGGATATCGGTTGTGAATTCTATTTTTTAAATAAATCAAAAAATTATAAATGATTTGTTAATAATGTTTTGCAATTTCTAAAACAAACGAGCCAAAAAATAAACATGAAGTTGCAAAAAATATTTGTTAATTTTAACTAAAGATTTTATGTTCATCCAGGTCCACATAACTTACAACCAACTGTAATCTGTTAACTAATGGAATAAGTAGTTTGTAATTATAACAAACATTTTGTAGATTTAATAACAAAATCCCATGTCAATAATTTAACCACAATTCTTGTAATTTTTAAATAGGACCCTATTTTTACAAACCTTTTTGTAAACCCAGTAACAAAAGTATTTGTTGAAAATTGGGAACTTAAATAAAAAGAATTTCGATAAAAAATGTTGCTTTATTAATCAATTTCCTAAACAAAAAAATTAACACATATATGTGTACATACGAGGTGTGTTAAGAAAATAACGGGAATTTTTAAATTTCACGGGTTTGGAGAGTCCGGTTGTCATAAAATTGTCTTTATTATGTTAGTATACATACCCCTGAAGAATGAAAAAAATTTTAAATGTTTTCATTGTTTACTTTGTCTGTGGCAGCCGCTAAGGTTAGACGTGAATTTATGAGCTCGGCGATTTTTGTTCGAAGAAATGGATCAAAAAATTTGAATCAAATTTTGGGTAAAAAATTAAATAAAGTGTGTGAAATGTTAAGAAAGGCCTATGGTGAGTCTGCTATGGCCGTAAAGACGTTGAAGATGACGAACGCCCCGGATGCCCAAGCACATTAACAACGGATAAAAACATGGAAGAAGTGGAAGAAATGGTTATGAACGATCACCGAATCACAATCAGAGAAGTCGCTGATGATGTTGGCATATCGATGAAATTTTTTCGAATGTTTTGGGTATGAAACGCGTGGCTGCAAAATTTGTTCCAAAATTGTTGAATTTTAAACACAATATTTTGCCAAAAACAATACTGTAATGATGCCCCAGTCTACCTATTCGCCAGACATGGCTCCGTCAGACTTTTTCCTATTTTCCAAAATAAAGAGAACCTTTAAGGGGCGTCGTTTTGCAAGCATAAATGACATTAAAAGCGCATCGCTGAAAGAACTAAAGACTATCCCAAAGATTGTGTTTGAGAAGAGTTTAGAGGATTAGAAGAAGCGCTGGCACAAGTGCATAATATCTTATGGGGACTATTTTGAAGGCGACAACTTTAATGTAGACGAATAAATAAATACTTTTTTCAAAAAACGAAAATTCCCGTTATTTTCTGAACACACCTCGTATATGTTATATTTGTGTACATGGTATATAAATGAACACAAAAATAACATTTAAACACAATTAAATAACAACCAATTCTGAAATCATCAAATTATAAAGAAATTTGGTACAATATAATTATCAATACTACTACAACACTTACTGATGGATTTCGCAACTTTAACCCACTCCACTGTATCCTTTAATTTCAGTTTGAAAACCACTGATGGTTTTTTTTTTCGGATACTTCGCACACTCGTTAAATAGGTATAGGAATCCGAATAACAATAATAACAGATATCAGGTAATATATTATAAACACTCTTGACAGTTGTTCCGAACACGTTACGTTACGTTACGTTACGAATTAGAATAAAGTAAGCAGAAACATAAGTTGCAGACGCTGAAGTCAGTTGAACTTGTTGATGCGTATTGTCAGTGGGAAAGGTTTGATTAACTCCCTGAAATCACGTGTACATTTTTAAAAAAATAATTTGTTAGACATTAACAAAATAATCTGTAACCTTTGAAATTAACAAAATGCTTACAAAATTGCATATTACCTTTACAAAACTTTAGGTAAAATATTTTCCTTTGTTAAAATAATTACAAACCCTGGTTTTCTACAAAAAATAATGATAAAATTTTACAAAATAAACTACACTTCTTCTACTACGAGCCCTAACAACTATATGTTGGAACAAACAACTAGTTTACAAATAAAACGCTAGTTTACTGAATCAATTTGATTTTAATGTTTTTATTTTTGTAGAATTGGAATTAGCAACATTTTTGATGTCATTTTATAACAGTTGTAGGAGAAAATTCTCATTATTGTATGATTGAAATTTATTTAAGTGATTCATGTTCAATAAATGCTAACAACTTAATGTTGGAACAAAACGTTTTAAAGTAAAAAAACACATATTAATAAGACGTAACGTCGCCTTTTGCCCGAATAACTGCCTGAACTCTATCAGGCATCGTATTCACAAGGCTTGCACATAGTTCAGGTGTAAAATTATCCCAAATTTCTTGTAATTTGGTACGCAATTGTGGTATGGTTTGTTGTGGACTATTCTTCAGATGTTGCTTCATTTTGAGCCACAGTGTCTCTATCGGATTAAGATCCGGGCTGCTGGAAGGATGTGACAAAACCTTAATATTATTTTCCCCAAACCATTTTTTTGGAGATTTTGCAGTATGGCATGAGGCACCGTCTTGCTGAAATATAAAATCCCCATTGGGATATAAGTTTGCAGCACTTGCGTTAACAGTCCCTTCAATAATGTGCCCAATTCTTTCGCCGACATACATCCCCACACTATAATGCCTTGTGGAAACTTGACTGTTTTTTTGAGACAATTCTTATGGAAGGCTTATCTCGAATGATGCGTTTTCGGTACTTTCCACACAAACATTAAATTTACTTTGTCACTGTAAATGACTTTACTCCATTTTTAGACCACGACAGCTTAGATTTAGACCAATTGTAACGATTTTTTTTGAATTTCTGCCAATAAGTGTTTTTCTTTAGCCTGTCAATTTATATACATATATAAATAAACAATTTTGGGAGGACCTGAACTTTTACCACGAATATTAATATTCCCGGTTTCACCATATTTTTTAAGGATATTAAACACAGTAGACGTTGCTATCGCAAATTCAGTAGAAATTTGATGCATTGTTTTGCCTTTATGGTACTGATTGATAATAATTTCGCGTACTTTTCGATCAGTAGGCTTCCCGCGTGTCATTATTGAGATAAACTATAGAGAAAAGAGAATATGTGTTCCAACAATTAGTTGCTGCAGCGATTTTTGAACATGAAACAGTTATATAAATTCTAATAAAAAAATATTAGGAATTTTACCGCACAAATGTTATGAAATGACATAAAATATTGCCAATGCCAATTTTTCAATTTAAAAAAAATTAAAATCAAATTGATTTAATAAGCTAGCATTTTATTTGCAAAATAAATACTTGTTCCAACATATATAGTTGTTAGGGCTCGTACTACTAACTACACTTGGAATTTTTTTAACATACCTTTTACATTTTAAGGCAAAACAATTTATTTATCAATAAATTTACTAATGTAATTATGCACTCGTGTTCGGGTGTACCTCAACAATGATGGTATACCTGGAAAAACTTCTCCGAGTGGGAGTCTGGAGTGTGAATATGCGCCGCGCGTCCTGACGCTGTTATATAGAATGTTTCGACAAGAGATGGAACAGTTTGTGGACGCTGCTGAGTGCGCTACTAACCGGAAAACCTTCTACCCTTCCATTGGAATTGAGCGCGTTGCGGGAACTTTCAAAACTTTTGCCGACGTTCGGAACACTTTTTCGCTACTTGATCTGTAAAGGTTTTTGTTAAGAACTTATTTTTATGGTTATTGTCGTGGTTCGTTCTACATATTCTGGTAAGTGGTTTTTTATGTTTTATTTTAATTAGTTTAAGGGAGTATGATAAATATTAAAAGTGTTTTTTAGCTATTTTAATTACTTTAATTAAATAACGTAGTTGTTAATGGTAATTACATAAATTGTATTATTATAACTTACCCAACTAAAAATTGTTTGCGTTATACCTAATGTGTTGATAGGAGATTGCAAAAAAAGTTTTCATGACTGTTATATTTAGATATAGGTTATAATAAAAAAAACTTTTTAGATAAAATCAAACGTAAATTTTAGATTTTAAATATTTATTTGTGCTCTAAAAAAAAAATAAAATTTTTTGCACAAGTCAGAGTTTAAAGATAATACACTGAAAGAACAGTTTATTTACAATTAATGATGTTGTTTAACAATAAATAAAGGATTTATTCGATAATGGCGAAATAAATATTTATTTTTTAAAAACAAATAATTTATTAGTATTACTTTAATATACTTTTTTGTGGTAAATAAATATTTATTTATTATAAACAAATACTTTATCTGTGAAAAATAAAATTTCATTAAAAACAACCAAACCCTTATTTATTATAAAAATGCCATTTTAATAAGTAGTTAATAATTTATTAAAAATTAACAAACAGATATTTTTAAAAAACAAATTGTTATTTAAAGTGACAAACATCTTATTTATTATAAATAAAGTAAGTTGATTATTTAATTTTTATAAATTAGTTTATTTATAATTAACAAATTTTATTATTAATACTTAATAATTAGCATGTAACTGTATTTTTTTAAAAATTGTTTATATTTGCAATAAATATGGCATATATGTATATGATATCCTTGTCAATCTCACAAAGAGACGTATTTTCTTTATAATTTTACAAGAGATTTATATATATATATATATATATATATATATATACCTATAGGTATTAAAACTTACTGCAGGTTAAAAATATACCTATAGTATACTACAGGGTGTCCTGAAATTCATGCACCATACTTTAACAGCAGATTGTACGTGCAAAAATAAGAAAAAAAGTCCCTATAAACATAGGTCAAGAAATGCCTCTTAAGGGAGCTACAGCCCCCAAAAAGAAAGCCGCTGAAGATGGTTTTTATTTAATATCTCCAAAACCGTTAAAGATATAAAAGTGAAATTTGGGGAATTAATTAAACTTTTTATGACCAATAAGACGTAACAATATCAATTTAAAAATTTTTATGAGGTTTGGGTCAAATTGATAGGAAGTAGGGTTAAAACCACCTTAACTTATTTGTACGTATCTTGTACCAGAATTTGGTGTCAGATTATGAAATTTTAGAGTTTTGCACATAAAAAAGGTCATCTTGTTGAACTTCGATAACATACACCGTTTTCGCATAAAATCGATTTGAAAATTATTTTACATGGCATAAAAATTCACAATTAAATCACAACCATAGAAATTGACTCGCGTGGTCCTTGGAATACGGCTGCCATGTTTAGGAAAAAATAGAATAATTCAAGACAGGTGACAGTTTCATGTAGTAAGTGACAGGGTGTTTCTACTTTTTTATTTATATTAGATAAAAACCATCTTCAGGGGCTCCCTTTTCGGGGGCTGTAGCTCCCTTAGGAGGCATTTCTCGACCTATATTTATAGGGACTTTTTTCTTATTTTTGCACGTAGAATCTGCTGTTAAAGTATGGTGCACTAATTTCAGGACACCCTGTATAGTATAAAATAAACTTATAAAATTATTATGGTTTATATCTTTAATTTTATATGTTAATCGAAGTATATTGTTAAACCGAATATTGCAGTAATTTTCAAAATGCTAGGTGAATATTTCAAAAATCTTCTCCAGTAAAATTATAAAAAATCTCTAAAATTATAAATTACTTTATGAGATTGACGACGATATGTTGATATAAAATGTGCTTCAGTTTGAATGATTTTTAAAATAAAATACTTGTTTTTATATTTTATAAAATCCACTATTTAAAAAACATAAATAAACTTAAAAAAATAAAGATATAGTACGAGCCCTAACCACATAATGTTCGGACACTTCATAATTTATACAGAAATTTTTTTCGTGAATACTATCTCAAAATTATTAGAAGTTATGAAAAATTCAGCTTATTTTGGCATATACCCCTCGAAGCGATTTTTATTTTTAAAAAGTTTACCTTTTATTTTTAGCTTTTAAAAAAAGGCTAACTTTTTAACTTTTTTTTGCATGAGTAAAAAAAGTTATAAATGGGCCCATTAAAAAGAACATAAAATATTATACAAACCCTGAAAATTTGGTAAAAATTGTATAAATAATAAGAAAGTTATAGCGATATATATATCTGCAAAATCTCCCGTTTCCTAAGAAAATTGCAAAAACTCTTTAAAAATAGCATTTTTAAATTACTTATACTTTTTTATAACTTATTTATTTTTTACCAAATTTTCAGGGTTTGTATAATATTTTATGCTCTTTTTAATGGGTCCATTTATAACTTTTTTTACTCATACAAAAAAAAGTTAAAAAGTTAGCCTTTTTTTAAAAGCTAAAAATAAAAGGTAAACTTTTTAAAAATAAAAATCGCTTCGAGGGGTATATGCCAAAATAAGCTGAATTTTTCATAACTTCTAATAATTTTGAGATACATGTAGTATTCACGAAAAAAATTTCTGTATAAATTATGAAGTGTCCGAACATTATGTGGTTAGGGCTCGTATAATAATAATATAACCTTTAAAACTATATTCATAGCATCGTCACAGGCGATATCTGCTAATACTTTAAAAGAATTTTCTCCATTATCTGAACAAATTTGTTAAAAATAAATATAACCTGATTTTCTTTAAAGTCATCTGATTAATAATTAACAAGTGAATTTATTTATAGTAAATATACTTCATTTATTATTAATGCATCCCATGGGATATTCAACACGTGGAAACATCTTGAAACAAACTGCGACAAAATTCAGCCAATACAACGGAATAACAAGGCATCAATTATTATTTTTTTTAATAACTCATAAACTTACCTTTAAAAGTATTAGCCAGATCTTCTAAACCGTATAACAGTTTAGAATTTATTATGTCCATGTCAACATCCATGTTTAAGGACCTATTTTTATTTTGTTAGCATTCAACACCTTAGAAAAATATTATTATGTACTTACACAATCACTGCAACAGTTTATACGCAATACAAATTTCCTTATAATATGAAAAATGATGCAAAAGCACAAACAGAGCACAGACCACCACCACCTTTATGCAAAGATGTAATCGTCCGAGGTAAAACGACGCGTTATGATATTCCATTTGTTAATTATTAATATATCATATTTCTCACAAACAATATTATTAACCCTATAGGGTTATACTATAGTATGTCTTTCAGTGTACCTGTGTAAATTACAAATATAATGAGTATTTAACAGGAATTAATACATAAAACATAGCTTAAAAAGAATATTAACAAACAAAAAACCTGTATAAAATAAAAATAAAATAAAAATATTAAAGATTAATGGATTAGGTTAGATCACTAATATTATTTGATAAAAATTCATCTATGGAATTAAATTCTTTTGTAATTAAATATTGCCTAAACTTAAATTTAAATTGTTGGAAATCTATATCTCTAAAACTTAAAGGTAAAACGTTAAAGAAATTGATGCTGTAAAAATGTAATCCATTTCTTGTTCTACTTAATCTTAATTTTTTTTGACAAATATCTTGGGTATTCCTTGTAGCAAAGTTATGTACAATTTCATGGTTATTATAACTATGTAAATTTTTCTTAATGTAAAGCAGGCATTCAAAAATAAACAAATATGGAAATGTAAGAATTTTTAATGAAATGAAGTATTCTTTGCATTCGGCTCGATAAGAAAAGGTCACTTAGTGTCATGGAAACATGTACGATAATGAGCGTTTTAAGGTAAGAGTAGAAAAAATATACAAACTTATTAAATACAAATCATTCCCAAATATTTGAACTTTATTTACAATTAGGTTAAAATGGTGCGCACTGAATATATACATACATATTTAAATTTTAAACACGGTGCACCAAGTATCCTACGTATGGGTATCATTTTGGGAATTATTAAAATATACTGAAGAAGCAAACCTTTTTCTACACTTACCTAAATTTTGGTGGGGGTTATTTTTTTTAAGGGGGATATGATTTTTTTAATATTCGGTGGACTTTGGCTTGATTCTCGGTACCAAAATATTTTTGAGTATTTTTTTCATAAAAATACTAAATTTTTAAAGGAAAAAATATTTAATTATTTTAATATAATGTGTCATAAGCTTTACATTTTCGTAGATAACCTCCAACAAATAAAAAAATATGATATAATTAAAATATTTTCGTTGAACAAAAGTAGGTTCATTTTTTTGTTGGAACTCGTGCAAATTTAAGGGATAAGTTGGCAATCATTTCTATTTTAGATTAAAAATTTTAAAATTTAATAAATATTATTGGTTATAAAATTAAAATAATATTTCTCTACTAGTAGTTTAAGTAACACAAGTTCATCAACAATGCATTTAATATTTTCTTATGATTATTTTCTATAATTTGACAAAAACCTTAAAACTATTTTGGCTTAATTCATAATAACTTTAAAATATTTAATTTTATAATAAAAAAATACTACTCATCGCCAATTTAAAAAAAATCATAATCCTAATAAAAGAAATAGGCTAAAGTTAAATTAAGGTATTGAATAGAATTACTAAAACTAAGAATGCAAATTAAACTGGCATTAATTGCCAAAACAATTAAATTCTACAAGTTCAAATAAAAAAATAATTTTATCAATTAGTTACCGGGTAGAAAAAAATAAAAAATATTTAAATGAACCTACTTTTGTTCAACGAGAATATTTTAATTAAAGCATATTATCTTATTTGTTGCAGGTTATCTACGTAAATTTAAAACTTATAACACATTATATTAAAATAATTAAATAATATTTCTTTTAAAATTTAGTATTCTTAAAAAAAAA